TGAGGTAGCTAGGGTGGCATATTGGATAGAGTGAAGGCCTTAGAATCAGGAGAGACCTGAGTTCAAATCTAGCTTCAGACCCTTACAGCTATATGACCTTGAGGAAGACGCTTAATTGCTGTCTGCCTCAGTTTCTTCAGTTGTAAAATGGAGATAATAATAGCACCTAATATTATCTGAGCTACATAAGATAATATTTTTAAATTATTTAAACTTAATTTATAATTTAAAATATCTAAAAAATAAATATTTAAATAAAATATAGTTCAAATCCAACTTCAGACACTTGACACTTACTAGCTGTGTGACCCTGGGCAAGTCACTTAACCCTGATTGCCTCACCAAAAATAAAAAATAAATATATAAAATATAAATAAATAATTTAAATTATTTTTAAAACAGCATATAGTAGGTACTATATAAATGCTAGCTGTTATTATTATTAAACTCTGCACTGTGTCCTCCATGACAATGGCAAAATGCCTTTGGCAACCATAAGGCTTCCTGTTTTGTACCATGCTGGAATTAAAGTCAGGCGTCATTCAAAAGGTAATGGAATGAAGCTTTGTAAGCATGTGTAGACTGTAACATAGCACCACCAGTGAAGAATTGGATTGGAGAAAGGATGCCTGGGCTGTCACTAGAGAGATATATCATCAGAAAAGAAGGTGAGCTAGTCATGTACCAGGTATAAGGCATAACCAACAGACAGCCTACCTGTACCATTGGTGTCCACCATTGTCAAGACACCCGGAAGAAAGCCTGCATCGAGTTGACTGGAACATTTAGGGGAGCATATGAACAAGCGTCACATAGACTGAGAAGACAGAGATGGCATCTCTCCATACCAGTAGAGGACTCATTGATGTGTTATTATACATATGTCTGACTATGACTTTATGAAAACGAAGAGGATCTCATCAGCTCTGCATTCATGGGTCAGGGTCAAGGGTCAAGACCCTACTAGAGTCCTCCTGTCCCCTCCTAATCTCCCGAGTATACTGTGCAGGATTTCTTCACTGCAGGTTAATTGCTCCTGCTTCATTAGCTCCTGGGACAGGGAGCAGTCTGGGTGGTAAAAGCAATTATGCTGATGGGGCACTTTGCTTCTATGGGTCCCTAACTCAGTAGGGGAAGAGGGGGGCCAGGCAGTAGCCATGGATGATTCTGAGTGTCAGAAAGCAGAGTAAATTAGTCCTTCGAGGCAGGTGGCGGCTGGCGGGGGGCCGGGATGGCTGCCATTAGCTTCATGGAGAAAGCAATAAAACTCTGTTCATTCATAAATGGGCCACCATGAGGGCCTATTTCCTGCTCAAATAAAATTAAAGGTGATGGATGGAGCCTGGGAGAGGGAGGCAGCGTTGGGAGTGGATTAGAGGCTGAGTGATGATAGGTCGCTCCTGGTTGGGCTTCCTGTAGCCGGAGAGGTGAGGACCAATCTGAGGTTCTTACCCTAAACCTCTGGGCAGTTGGCAGCAGAAGGGAAAGAAAGGCCAGTGGGGTTAGGGGAGGCAAGCACAGGTAAGAAAAGAGGGCTCTGAGTTCACAGAAAGGGGGCATTTTTAGTATCAATTTTCAGCATCACGTTTCCACGTGGCCTGAGGCAATAATGAGAAGAAAAAAAAAGGTTAGGAAGCTCCCCAGGCCCCCCCAAAAAACAATTACAGGTGTTTAAGACACTGTCTTCACACTGGCCCTGGGACAACAGGTGACAAAGTGGATAGAGTACAAGGCCTGGAGTCATGAAGGCTCATCTTTGTGAGTTCAAATCCTGCCTCAGACACTCAACCAGCTGTGTGACCCTGGCCAAGTCACTTTATCCTCTTTGCCTCAGTTTCCTCATCTGTTAAATGAGCTGGAGAAGGAACGACAAACCACTCGAGTGTCTTTGCCAAGAAAACCCCAAATGGGGTTACGAAGAGTCAGAGACAACTGAGACAACTGAACAACAACTTTATACTACCCCAGGAGGTAGTCAGAGCAAGTATTATTCATTCCCATTTTATAGATGAGGAAACTAAGGCTCAGAGAGGGAAATAGGTTGGGATTTGACCCCAAGTCTTAGGACTACCATCATTATCCTTATCAAAATAGCTAGCATTTATATAGCTCTTTAATATTTGCCAAGAACCTTGTATGTGTTATTTTCATTTACATGGGTTAAATCATAGGCAGAATAGTTCTGTGTGGCCTTCTAGGTCTTTGAGTGCAGCCTTTTGACTGAGTCCAAGTTTTACAGAACAAATCTTTTTATTGAGGGGATTTGTTCTGTGAAGTTTGGATTCAGTCAAAGGGCTGCACTTGAGGACCTAGAGGGCCACGTGTGGCCTCAAGGCTGCAGGTTCCCCACCCCTGATCTATTCAATCCCCTTTTTTAATAGATGTGAAGGTATTCACCTCAGAGCCCTTAAGCTTTAGGTATAGGGACACACATTTGAACCCAGAACTTGTGACTCCAAATCCAGTTCTCTTTCTAATGTGCCATATACCAATGCTATGGATAGCCTAAGTGCGGCTAAATCTTACCCAAGCGCTGCTAATATAGCAGCTGTAGCTCTGCCCTTCTTCCCAACATTGCCACTCCCCTTTTTGCTGTTGTTCAGTCATTTTTCAGTTGTTATCCAACTCTTCGTGACCCCATTTGGGTTTTCTTGGCAAAGATACTGGTATGAATAATTTGCCATTTCCTTCTCTAACTCATTTTACAGATGAAGAAACTGAGGCAAGCAGGGTTAAGTGACTTGCCCAGGGTCACACAGGTAGTAAGTGCCTGTGGCCAGATTTGAACTCATGAAGATAAATCTTTCAAGCCTGGCACTCTATCCACTTCAATACCTAAATCCCCTCTTACTCCCACCCAGGGAGTTAATTCTTACTTCTTCCTCCACCAGAAAGCCAGGGTATTGCTATTCCTTCCCAACTCTTGGGGGTAAAAAAAAAAAAAGCTAGATGGGGCAGGATGCCCATCCTCTAGGCCAACCCTGGGCATAGAACCCACTGCAAGTGGAAGAAGAATGTCATACCCTGCTCCCTGCCACCAAGCTATACAGTGGAAATTCTGATTATAACTAGGTTTAACCCAAGTGTTTTTTGCTGCTGCTGCTGAAGGCCTTTTCAGTCACCCACCAGTGGGGAAAGATAAGAAAGCCAGATGAGAACCAGCATCTTGAGGTGCCATGAGTACTTTCACGAAGCTTTCCCAGACTAGCCACTTACCTCCTTCATATTCTCTTAGCTGTACTATGTTATAGGCTCACATGGGTTACAGACCCTTGAATATGAAGGAAGCAATTCTACAGAATCTTGGTGTTTGAGAGGAAAGTCCTTCAGGGTGGGACCCAGCCTTACTAACCCTGTATCTCTCTCAATACTTTTCCTAACTTTGCTTGTACATTCTATGTCCTTAAGGGATGTTTCTTTAAATGACAAAATTTCAAGTAAATGGATTTTATCTCCTTAATGAAAATTGAAACTCAAGTACCAGGGTTATAGGTGCCTTTCCCTTACCCAAACCCCTCAGTGGCTGCATGGATTTGGACAGCCAAGAAGACTCAATACTGAAGAAGTTAATAAATTAGTGAATAATAAATGCATTTTAACCTTCATGACTAGCAGGCTGTTTCATTTAAAACATGACCTCACTTAATGCAGCCTGGACACTGGGACAAAATAGGATCCATTTCAGTTCACTATTGGGGGCTAGGTCCGGGGCAGGGACTGCCACCTGAGGGGACCTTGTAGCGAGCTGAAGAGCTTGCTCTGGGGGCAGTGTCTCCTTCTTTTCCCAGAGGGAATAGAATTGCAGAGGTCTGAGTCCCCAGGTCCTCTGCCCCATAGCCTGGCCAGTTCTGGAGCCTCCCTGCCAAAGAGTAACCTTCCCCGGCCCTGAATAGATCCTGTCTCCTTCCCAGAAACTCAGGACTTGATTTGCAAAAATGCAGTGCTCTTGGCAAGCCTGATCCTCCCCCCAGGTTTCACCGCTGGGAATGGTTTGGAGGCTGCAGGAGCACGTCTCTCTAGGCATCTTCTCTGTCACTGGGAGCCTATGGAACCATTTCCCTAGGAAATGCCAGGCCCCAGAGGAGGCATGATAGGTAATGAATTATACCAGTGACAACCACCGGCCAGCCCTCCGCTCCCGAGCCATCAGCTCTAAATCAAGCTCAGCCAGAGAAGGTGGGTGTTGAGTACAAAGAGGCAGGCGTGGGTGGCCTCTCACCACCAGTGTCCCTGTCTGCCCTCCCTAGACTACTCCAACACCCAGTTCACCCTTGGGGAGCTAATCTCCATTCTTCCTGCCAGGAAGTCAGGTCACCACTGCTCCCTTCCATCACTCTGAGAAAAGACAGACCCAGGACAAGGTACTCCTTCTCTTCCCAGGACGTGGTAATCCCTGGCCCAGCACTTCACCCTCCTCAGTGCTGCTGGTACAAGAGGTTACCACAGAAACAAACTTTCCCTACTCATCATAAGATTATAGATTTAAAATTGGAAGGGACCTCGGAGCCAGCTGGTTCAATAGCCCCATGCTTCCATTTTACAGATGAGGAAACTGAGACCCAGAGAGGTTAAATGATTAGCGCAAGGTCACTCAACTAGAAAGTGGCAGATATTAGATCCTCTGACCCCCAAATGCATTACACTGCAACCAGAATGTGTCCTCATGCCCTTCTCTTCTCCCACCAAGGCTTAGGTTTTAGTTTCTGTTCTGGCACTTGCTACAGTACAGGGGTGGCCAGTCTCAGGGGTCCAAGGTCCCCTTCAACCTATCTTGATTGAATCCTGGTTAATCACCACATAAATCACTTGACAATAGCAGATTAAAAGCAGAACTTCAATGAACTGGTGTCTCTAATGTGCTTGTGTGTGTTTGGGGGGGTGTATGTGTGTGGGGGCATATTTGGGTATGGGCATAGGAGAGAGGAAAAGAATAGAAAGAAGTCAGTGTGGATAGGAACTAAGGAAGGAATAGATGGGGAATCAG